TTTTTTAGATAGAGAATTTCTTTTCAATTTATGTTAAAGTAAATAATACACATTTTATAAAAGCGGAGTTTAAAATAATAAAGTTAAAGTTAAAATTAAAATAATAAATAAGAGCGGAGATTAAGATAATAAGTTTGCACGTTTATCTATTTTCATTATGCGAATTATCGAAACTATTTAAAAATATCTCGCGATCTTTTTGCAGGTGGTACCTAATAATAAACAAAACAATCCTTTTCTAAAAAGCATGCATTCAACAGCTCTCAATATCAAGACGAACGTGAAAACGGACTCCTGGCTGATCAGGACTCTCAATAACGCGAGTATCGGAAAACAAAAGCGACATACGGACGATGCGGATCAACGAAGTGAGAGGTCCTCGACTTGTTTGCAAATTGTCGACGAAAAACCAGATCAGCTGTCATCGTTGTTAATCGCGGATGCAGATATAAAGACTCGTGCGTCAATCATTGATAGTGAATATCCAACGATCCAACTCTCTCGCGAGCACGTCTCTACTTCTTCCTCGAAGAGTGGCGAAACGTCAACGAAAGAACTGGAAGGTCAGGTTGGAAAAGCCACGTACTCTGAAACGGTGCGAAGATCTATGAAAACGAGTAATTTACACTTGGAAAAGAAAGAGTTGCTCAAGTCGTGCACGACTAATTCATTGGCTACTATAATTTCAATTCCTGGCCGCAAATATCAGAGGAAAGACTCCGAGCAATCATATCAGCTTTTACATAAATCGCGAAGATTAGCCGATAAGAAATTAGTGAGAAATACGGACGGCAATGATCTTCAGTTGGAAGAGGGATCGTGCGTGAAAATCGGCGCTGTTAAATCGAACGGTGTAACGTCAAAATCTTCAATCACCGCGAAAACAAATCATGGTAAAAAGAAGGATCACTTGGAACACTTGGAAGGCAAATGTGCCAACAAGTTGAATGATCGTGGATGGTCAGTGTGGTGCAGTTCCAGGAGGAAACAGAACCTCAGTCCTCTGGCACTTAACAAGTTGGAGACGATTCATCGAACTGTCTGGCAAATGGATGAAGCTAATATCTTCAAGTACCCATTCTCACGTGACAATAAAGATGAACTGGCTTCGTCAGCATTAATAGTCAGTTTCCGAATAAAAAAATGAGAAATATGAAAATACGTAACATTGAGTAAAAATATATATTTTTTTTTTATTTCCAGATGGAGAATTATTGCAAGATTGTTAAAAGCCCGATGTTTCTCGAAATTGTCGAGTACAAGCTGAAGAATCGGATCTATCATAAAGTCGAACACGCCGTAAAAGATTTTCGACGTATTATTCACAACGCGAGATTGTATCATCAGGTTCGTATAATAATTTTATAATAATAAATGACAATTTTATATTTTATTTATCTCTGTAATTATAATTATATCTTTAATTGTAATTGTAAAAATCGAGGGGTGAAATTAATACGACAAATTATTACGCGAAATTGAATTGTCTAATTTTAAAATTATTAAAATTCAATACTCTGATGTCTACTTTAAAAACTTAAAAAACTTAAAAACTAAAGGAATTTAATTCTGAAATTTGTCTCAGTTCCATTTAAATATAATATTTATATGACATTAATTTTAAATAAAATCTCAACGAATCAACATTTTTTTCGCAGCACGATGACGAACAAATGAAAAAGATCGAAACGCTTTCGAAGAAATTAGAAGATTTATTCGAAGAACACTTCGGCAATTGGGATTTTGACAATATTACCGGCAGTCCGAGGGAAGATTCATTAATACAGCTGCGACTCAAGACATCCGGACAAAAATTGAGCGCAGGACGCTGCGATAGCGCGAAGAAAAGTGTTTCTTCACCAATCATCTCAGAGAATTCTTCGTTTCACTGACTGTTGCTTCTCATTGAAACGAAAAGTCCAAATCAAACTATCGCAACCAAACTAACGTTCTTTACAGAGCATTGCGTGTAATAACTTCTTCTAGTCACGAGCCAAGTACTATTAATGATATCGTAGGTATTCTCCTTTCTCTATTCTCGAAAATCGATATCGCTGTAAACGTGTCATTGAGCTTTTCTATGTCGAAAGGATGGAATTCCGGATATTAACTTTGAAAAATATGCGTGTATGTTCTATCCGTTGATCGAACTATTTCAATTTTATAGCGATATCTTAGAAAAAGAAAACTTTAGTAAACACGAACGATCATCGTACGATATTGGATTAATTTTTATACGAAAAAGAAAATAGCGTATGATATAGCGAAAGTATCGATAATATAATATAATTTTCCACGTTCTTTGTTACGGCTTATGAAACATTTCGATACTCCTGTTGAGGCATCGTTAGATCAGAGTGATATGAATCATGAAATATATATTACATTGAGACTAATCTAATTATTTGCTATATTTTAAGTCTTTTAGTATATAAATGCAAGGATATATGAAGTATCATATAAATTTAATTTTACGTGCCGCGTGACTCACGCTCTCGTGACTTCAAACTCGAGAGATGAAGTCACCGAGATATACCGGAGCTGAAGCTATGTGTCACAAATATATATATGAAGTTATCACGCACGCACCATCGCTCAGAAGTTAATACTTCTGATGGGGGCGAGTTAATCGACATGGATTATGGCAATGTCAAATATACCAACCAGCCAGTCGGTAAGCCGGAGATAGCGATAATCACGCAAACGGAGTTGCGGCCGGCGAGCCGACGTTTCTCGTGTTCTCCCACGGAGGAGAACTCTGGGAGAGAAAGAGAGAGAGAGAGAGAGAGAGAGAGAGAGAGAGG